CAGGTTGTTAATGAGTCTTTCTCCAATCCTGATGCCATGTTTTTCTTCATATAACCCAGCTTCTTGGATTATTTGCTCAATTTAGGATACAGCAATTTTCTCTGGTCAGGAGTGCCTCTTGCCGGCCATGCTGTAGGCACACTCTCTAATGCTCTGTTTCTCAGCCACCTGGAACCTTGGCCTCTGCCCTGCTCAGGCAAGTGTTCCACAACTCCTTTGTTGTTGTTGTTGTTGTTGTTAAGTGCCATCACATCCACTCTCATAGTGATCCTGTGTAGGGTTTCCGAGAAGCAGTTGATGGGCTTGAACTGCCAACCTTGTGGTTTGATCCTACAGCACCACACCAGAAACAATGTAAAAAAAAAAAAACGAACAAAGGGAATTCTCAGCTTTATTGGCTCCATGGGCCAGGAAGCCTGCTGCTCAGCTCTGTCTTATGCTCTTGGTTCTGCTGCTGCTGCTGTTACTACTCCATGAAGGGATCTTGGGATCCATAAGTCATGTTCCACTCTTCTTTCTTGATGTTTATGAGATTAATTCACCTATTCCTGCTTCCAAAATAGCTTGTTTAAAACCCAGCAGGATCACCAAATTGACTAATACCCACATTATTTGCATGATCCCACCCAATCATTTGGTGGGAGTCACAAAAATCTAAGGCTAGAAGAAGATGGCAGTGGTGTTTGCATAGCAATTCATAGTGACTCGGTATGGGGTTTTGAAGCTATACAACTTTGGTGCTGTTGTTGTTGTTGTTAGGTGCCACTGAATCAGTACGGGCTCTTAACGACAATATGCACAACAGAACCAAACACTGCCTGGTCATGGGACAATCTAACAATCCTTGCTATGCCTAAGTCCATCACTGCCAACACTGTGCCAATCCATCTTGTTGGAAGTCTTCCTCTTTTTCTCTACCCCTCCATTTTACTGAACATGATATCCTTCTCCAGTGACTGGTCCCTCCTGATAATATATCCAAAGTATGTGAGACGAAGTCTGGCTATCCAGGCTTAAAAGGAACACTGTCACTGTACTTCTTCCAACACTGTTCTTTTGGCAGTCGATGAAACTTTGAATATTCTCCTCCAACACCATAACTCAAAGGCATCAACTCTTCTACAGTCTTCCTTATTCACTGTCTACCTTTCACATGCATAGGAGATTAATGTGAATACTATGGCTTGGGTCACGCACTCAAACTGATTATCTTTGCTCTTCAACACTTTAAAGAGGTCTTGCAATGCAACATTTGGTTTCTTGACTGCTGCTTCCAGGAGTGTTGATGGTTGATCCAAACAAAATGAAGTATTTGACAACTTCAATCTTTTCTCCACTTATATGCAAGTTGTATACTGGTCCAGTGGCAAGGATTTTTGTTTTCTTGACATTTAGGTGCAACCCATGCTGAACAGATGTGGTCTTTGATCTTCATCAGTAAATATTTTAAGTCCTCTTTACTTTTAGCAAGCAAGGTTGTATCATCTGCATATGGCAAGTTGTTAATGAGTCTTCCTCCAATCCTGTTGCCACATTTTTCCTCATATAATCCAGCTTCTTGGATTATTTGCTCAGCATACAGACTGGTGCACACCTTTCCTAATTTTAAATCATTCTGTGTCCCCTTGTTCTGTTTCAACAACTGCTTCTAGCTCTATGTACAGGTTCCTCATGAGCACAATTAAGTGATTGTATACTCATTCTTCACATTGTTGTCCAAAGCTTGTCAAGATCCACACAACTGAAAGCCTTTGTGTAGTCAATAAAACACAGGTAAACATCTTTCTGGTATTCTCGGCTTTTAGCCAAGATCCATCTGTCACAATGATAGCCCTTGTTCCACGTCCTCTGGTGAATCCAGCTTGAACCTCTCAAAGTTCTCTGTCAACATTTGGTTGCAGCCGTTTTTGTATTATCTTTAGTAAAACTTTACTCACATTGGATATAAATGATATTGTCAGATGATTTCCACATTATATTCAGTCACCTCTCTTTGGAATGAGCACAAATAAGGATCTCTTCCAGTCAATTGGCCAGGTAGTTGTCTTCCAAATTTCTTGGCATAAATGAGTGAGTGCTTTCAGTGCTTCATAAGTTTGTTGAAAGATTTCAATTTTGTATTCCATCTATTCCCGGTGGTTTGTTCTTTGCCAATACCTTCAATACATTGTGGACTTCTTCCTTCAACACCATTGGCTACTGATCATATGCTACATCTTGAAATGGCTGAACATCAACCATTTCTTTTTGGTACAGTGACTCTGTGTATTCCTTCCATCTTCTTTTAATGCTTTCTGCATCATTCAGTATTTTGCCCATAGAATCCTTCAATATTTCAAGTTGAGACTTGAATTTTTCTTCAGCTCCCTCAGCTTGAGAAATGCTGGTTTTCTTCCCTTCTGGTTTTCCAACTCCAGGTCTTTGCTCATTTCATTATAATATTTGACTTTGTCTTCTCTAGCTGCCTTTTGAAATTCTGTGTTCAGCTCTTGTACTTTCTCACTTCTACCTGGAGACAAAGTTTCAGAGTCTTCTGACATCCACTTTCGTCTTTTCCTTTTGTCTTCTTAGTGATCTTTTGCTTTCTTCCTGTATGATGTTCTTGATGTCATCACACAATTCTTCTGGTCTTGGATCATTAGTGTCCAATGCATCAAATCTATTCTTGAGATGATTTCTAAATTGAGGTGGGACATATTAAAGATCAAATTTTGGCTCTTGTGGACTTGATTTACTTTTCTTCTGCTTCAGTCTGAACTTGCATATGAGCAATTGAAGGTCTGTCCCACAGTCTTCCCCTGACCTTGTTTTGACTAATGATATGGAGATTTCCCACTGTCTTTTTCCACAGATGTAGTCAATCTGATTTCTGTGTATTCCATCTGATGAGGTCCATGTATATAGTTGTCTTGTATGTTGTTTAAAAAAGGTATTTGCAATGAACAAGTCATTGGTCTTACAAAATTCTATCATGTGATCTCCAGCATTGCTTCTATCACCAAGGCCATATTTTCTAACTACTGATCCTTCGTCTTTGTTTCCAACCTTTGCATTCCAATCACCAATAATTATCAATACATCTTGAGTGCATGTTTGAACAATTTCAGACTGACAAAGTTATCTTCAATTCTTCAATTTCAAAAGGCTATAAGAGATATATTAAATAATTTCCTATACCACAGCAGGAAAGTCCCTGCAAAACAGTACTTGAAATGATAAACTTAGTAAGAAGTTTTGAAATGCTCACTTACATTCATGAAGCTAAAAAATATCATCACCCTTGATGATTTAGTGTGAACTTATGTTTAGTTTTCCTAGTTTTGCATGGAACAAATGGCCTTCAACATGTTTCCCACTACGGGCCATCTGCCAAATGAGGTTCAAGCCTCCTACAGGGTCACATTATAACTTATTTATTTCAATTTCTCACTGAAAATTTCTTTTTCCCAGATGGCATGCTGTGATTTCAATTTGTCTATAGGCTAACAGAAGCTATATCCCTAGGGCCCTATGTGCTTGCTTTATGCCACCATTGCCATTGAGATGCTTGGAAATGACTTTGAGAGAAGCCAGGTTTGCCTAAAGTTCCATCATTTAGTTGTGATAATGCTATAAACAGTTTTTGTTGTTGTTATTGCTAAGTGGTGTTGAGTCAGTTCTGACTCATAGCGACTCTGTATAGGGTTTCCGAGGAATGGCTGGTAAGTTTACATTGCAGACCTTGTGGCCCAGTGCTTATCCTACAACGCCATACCAGTTCTTAGTGAGTACATTTCCAAACTATCACTCTAGTTTTTTCTTGTCACTTTACTCTAGCTGTTTTGAACTGGATCGTTAGTATAAAACAAAAGTTAAAATTAATTTTCATACCATTATTCTGACTTATAATATTTAGCATATTTCCAAGATGATGAGATTTCATTTTCTAGTCAAATAGATGAATGATAAAAATGCTTTCTCTACATAATTCACAATATCAAGTTATCCTGCAGCAAAAACCCGGTTATAAGTGACTTAACTTAGAATGAGCAAAGTTTTAACCACAATACTTAATATTGCTAATCAAAATTCCCTTTAAAGCCCACAGTGTTAATTTCCTCTCCTACCAAAAATTAGGATCAACATCAGTCAAATTAAGCATTCTTTAGTTTAATTAATTTGGGGTGTAGGGAAGAAAATAAAGACAGAAAACATAAAAGATTAACTTCCAGAGTTAAGTGTTCTTTATATCACTAATCTTAGATAACACTGGGAGTAAAACATGCAGGGCAAAATGATTCTAGACACGCTTAACACTTTCAAAATATGTTGTGATTACTTATAAGTGATTCCAAGAACTAGCTTAAAGATCTCCTTTGAAAATCCATTGCTTAAATTAAAAAAAAAAAAAATGGTTTTTTTAAGGTTTTTATTAACTGATCTTAGGGTCATAAATATGTATGAAGCATCATACACAAGCAGAGTTTACATGTTCTATAAGAGTGCATCAATAGATATAGTTTGAAATATGGCTACAGAAATTGAGTCTGGTGAGTGAGAACTTGGACACTAACAGACAAATGTTAAAAAATAGAAAAAAAAAAAAAAGTGCTATTCAATTATTTGAGAAAAAAATTTCCAAAACATTTTTGTAGATGTTTCACACATGTCAATATGTTTAAAATACAAAACTCTGTGAATTGCTCATAATAAAACAATATGAAGAGGACATGGTTATTGCAAACATAAGTTATGAAGCAGACAGCCTCAAGCATTCTTTTAACTTAAATGGTAACAAAAAAACAAAAAAATTAATCACAGAATTAGAGAATGGACAACCATCAGTTCTTACTTTTGATCCATAAATGTCTAATTATTCACTACTCAATGTGTATGTCCTAGGAATTATGTGTCTGAGCCTAACAAAAACATGATTTCTTTCTGACCAACTTACATAACTATCTCTCTTATTTTTCTTGCTCCCTACTTGTCTACAGCTACAAATTTCTTAGTCAACAGGCTCAATCATGACAACTTCACTTTGAGAAGCTGAGCTCCTCCCCTTCACCAATTTACCATTTCATGATTAAAATAAACAAGTTATAATAACCTGATCTTATAATGAAAAATAGAGTTTTTAGGTCTTATTGAGTATATTAAGTATATTGAATATATCAATCCTGTTCAGCAGTAATGCCACATAGATAACTTTAGTACCACTTACTTACACCAAGTCTAAGGCTGCCTCTGCCAAAATCTAAAGTATGGATGACTAAATATGATTTTTAATTATGATGAACCATTCATTACCTTTGAATGTATTTTAAAAAATACACATTAATTTGAAATAAACTTAGTGATCTTGAGTTACATTTTGATTCTATGTGATAACTTAGGTAAAATAAAATTCTAGAATTCCTTTGATGGAATCAAAGGTAAGAATGACACAGATGCAATGCTATAATCCTTAAAGCAAGGTGGAGTTCTATCTCTGGTCTTTGAGAACCTGTGACTCTACTCTGGTGTGAGTCACCTGCACAGTTGCTTTGCCCTTTGGCCTTGCTTTGTACTACATAAAAAGAAATGTGTCCCATGAGAACCGTGTAGTACTATGACCCTTCAGGTTTAGACTGAAGTATCAATCCTTTCTCTTTTCATTTCCAAATTCAATTCACTGGGCCAATTGAAGTAAGTGAAGAGTGGAGAAGAAGGGGCAAAATCTGTCAGTGCTGCCCTGGGAAACACAGAAGAACAGATTCTTGATCTAGCTGTCCTGAGTTACTGGACTTAGCTAATGGAGAGGACAAACTATGGAAAGGGCTTTCTGTATCAATGAAAACGATACTGATAATTGGTATCATGCACTGAGTCCTTCAGGGATGCTATCCACTATACAAGGTACTTTGCATACAGTCATCTTTAAAATCCTCAAAACCACATTATTATTGTTCCAATTCTGATGTACAAACTAAAAGTATGTAGAGGTTAAGTAACCTGCCCAGCTATTAGCGGCCTGAGCCAAGTTAACAAGCATGTCCTTCTGACTGCAGAGTCTCTGATGAACACTGTTTTGAAAGCATAATCATACAGTTATGTCTGTCTGATGACAAAGTCCATGATTTACTTCCTGCTAAGCATTGTAACTCAAATAAAACAAACAGCAATAATAAAAAAAAAAAGATCAATCCAATACAAGTTAATACTAGTGATCAAAAACTTCTTAACTTCAAACCAGCTGTGTGCAATTTTTGCATTTCTACTCAAAAACATCTGAAGTGTCAGCAGGCTTAGCTCAACTGAGAATTCTAAGTCCTCACTGTACACATGGAAAATGAGACCCAGACTCAGTGGAGGCAAGGAACATCAGCAGCATCACCCAACCCACAGCCAAAGCTGATTCTGACTCACAGAGAGCATTTCAAAGACTAAATCTTTATAGAAACAGCTGGTGGATTCAAACTACCTACCTTTTGGCTAGCAGGCAAGTGTATCACACGGGGACTCCTTACCAACATCACAGAGCTAGTTAATTGTTGAACCAGAGAGGCCTTTGGTCTCACTCTTTCTGCTCTCTCCTCCCTCCCACCTCTTCTAAAACTAAGGGCACTTCCCTACAGCTCTTTGACTCCTTATTCCTTGCTCAACGCACAATTATTTTTCAAGCCAATAACTTAGGCTCTTCTCTATTTTCTGCCCTAACTTTTCCCGTGCATCTCACAGCTCCCATTCCAGTTGAAAATGTTGTCATAACCAGTGAGGGCCATGAAGTGTCAAGCTCACAAATGTCCTAGAGGTGAATCAACTTGATTTTAAAAATCCCAGAGGGAGTTTTCTACTAACAGGAATTACAGGCTCCTTGAAAGAGTAATTGAATGGCTTCACTGTTAGCAGGGTCTAGGTCACATTAGGGATCACTTCTCAGACCCCAGCCTACCAACCTTCAAAAGGAGCATGGGAAAGGAGGCCTTTGGGTAACTCTCGGAAAGACTCCAAAGTAAACAGTGCTTATAATTTAGCACTGTGATTCTTAGCAGCAACACTTCACAAGACAAACAATAAAGGATTTCAGCAGGGAAGGTGTGATGCTAGCTCCCTTCCCAGGGGCACAGTCCCTAGTGGGTTACAGGCTCGATATACCTCAGAACTTGGCTTCTACAGTTCTGTCTCCAACGTCTGCCTTCCTCAATTTATTATAAACACAAATAAAAGATATGTTTCCTGTGTGGTTTCACTATAGCCTCTCCTTTTGCAGGCCTTCATTGGCATCTGTATCCTTCCCATGTCAAAGCCATAGTTTGTATCATTGGCCTCAATCTGGTTTATTTCTAAAAAGTATTTATTAAGCATCCATTTTGTTCTGTTGTTCTTAGGGTCGACGACTCAGAATCGACTTGATGGCACTTAAAAACAACAACTGCTATCAAATCAATTCTGTAAAGGATTCAAGAAAATAGGACACTTTAAATTTTTTGAGGAATACTGGCTATAGGTATCTGAAGTAATCAGAGTACGGCAAAACTTTAAAATGAATATGGCTTTGTTTTGGTTTTCCCTCCTAATTCTTGTAAATGTCTTTATTTCCTAAGGCATTTGTCCATCAGATCTTTTCAATGATATGGACATCCACAAGAGGTCAAACTTTCAACCAATAAACATGTGTTTAGAAGGTACTTCTCAGACAATTTTATTAATAAAATACACAAAGGGAGGTCTGGATGCAGCTCACCTTTGGAGAGGATGTCCTGAAGCTTGAGCTCCATTCGGACCAAACTGATGGGTTCCAAGAGGTGGAGCACCTGGAGGCAACATCCCCCCAGGAGCAGCAGTCCCCATAGGCCCTGTTGGCTTCATCACACCTGCAACAAAGGGCATGAATTTAGAAGAGTATGGTATTAAAGTATAAAAAGAAAGAAACCAAGGCACTGGGTTACAAAACAAATTGGGTAGGCGAGGAGGAAAGCAAAGATTTAGGACCAATTCTCCCTTCAAGCTTGCTTTAACCATTAACTGCTTACCTATCAAAGAGTCATCTGTGGTTCAGTGGTAGAATCCTCACCTTCCATGAAGAAGACCAGGTTTGCCAATGCACCTTACACACAGCTACTACCCATCTGTTAGTGGAGGCTTGCATGTTACCATCATGGCAAACAGGCTTCAGTGGAGCTCCCAGATAAGATACACTATGAAGAAAGGTCTAGTGATCTACTTCTGAAAATCAGCCAATGAAAACCTATAGATCACAATGGTCTAATCTGAAACCAAACATGGGAATGACACAAGACCAGATAATAATGCCTCATTCCATTGTGCATGGGATCAGGATCAAGTAGTTGGACAATGAATAAGGAAGACCACAGAAGAATTGATGCATTTGAGTTATGGTGCTGGAAAGTAATATTAAAGGTACCATGGACTGCCAGAAGAACAAACAAATCTGTGTCAGAAGAAGTACAGCCAGAATGCTCCTTAGAAGATAAGATGGTCAGACTTCATCTCTATACTTTGGACATATTATCAGGAGGGACCAGTCCCTGGAGAAAGACGTTATGCTTGGTAAAGTGGAGGATCAGCGAAAAAGAGGAAGACTCCCAAAGAAAAGCATTGGCACAGTGGCAGCAACAATGGGCTCAAGTGTAGCAGCGACGTGAAGATGGTGCAGGATGAGATGGTGTTTCATTGGTCGCTATGGGTGGGAACTGACTCAGTGTCACCTAACAACAACAACCACAACCTAGTAGTGACCTCTGCCTTAATTATGTGAATATATAATGATAAAAGAGCAGGAAAAAGAACTAATTTTAACACTAAACAGCAACTAATACAGAAGAAGCAATCTTCTCATTTTATACAAGCACCAGGATAGAAAACAATAAAGAATCCAACAACAACAAAAAAGGCCAGTTGGATCAGAAAAATACATCTGGAAAAATACAACCAGGTAGTATAGTCTCACAACTCTATGGAAAACAAAACAAAAACCTTCTAAAACTGCCTTTATTAAAATTATAGCATGAACAGAGCAAACAGAAGACAACAGCCGTTTCTCCAAGTCAAAAGCACATCCTTGGAAGGTTCATAAGTTCCCAGGATCCCAAATAGCTGGGTGGTAGGCAGTTGGGGACTGCTCAAGTCTTCATCACACTTGCTCAAACTCGTCTTTCATATTGTGAGTCACAGACAATTAACAGATACTTCTGGAAGTGAAGTGTCTTTTTTTTTTTTTTTTCAATATGCAGACTTAGTTTCTTTTTCAAAAGTACAATGTCAATTTTAATTATAAGTATTCAAGTACAAAAAATGAGGAACTCTATACCTGTTAAGTATATATGTATTCATGCAGACTGTTATGAAAAGGCTAGAAACCATTTACTTGTTCTGGGAATACTACGAAAGCATTTTGAATTCAAATATCCCTTGAAATGTGAACTACCTGGACTTTTACACATAGTTACTATTCAGATGTTCAGAGTTATTTTTTTAAAAAACAAACAGGGTCTATAATATGATGATTCAACTTCATTATTTTTTTCCCTAGAAGTGTTTTTAGCAAGTATAAGATACATCCTAATGCAAACAATGTTTCAAAAGGCATTTATACTAGAAAAAAATTTATATGCCTCTATGTTTTTACCTTTAAACATTGTTGTTGTTGCTAAGTGCCGTCAAGTAGGTTCCGACCCATAGCGACCCTGGACAGGGTTTCCTTGGCTGTAAATCTTTACGGGAGCAGAAAGCCTCATCTTTCTTCCACGGAGCAGCTGGTAGTTTTGAACTGGTGACCTTGAGGTTCGCAGCCCAATTCGTAACCACTACGCTACCAGAGCTCCTACTTTTAGACATATTTTGTGTCAATACATCACCCTTTCTAAGTCCTACTGAAGCCTGGAAGACTGTTGTGTTCTATCACTTGATACAAAGGTTTCCTTAGGGTACTTTACCAACTAGATAATTAGATCAAAATCTAAGCATCTCTATTAAAACTATTCAAAGCTTAGACCGACTCAGATAGACTACATTTCAAAACATATTCCCCAAAAATTAAGTACATATGATAGGTTCATCTTAGGACATAAATGCAACCAGGTAGTCCTAATATGCAGTTTGATATTTTAAATCAGCTGACATTTTCTCTTTGGTGTGGTGTACTGCTAAGTTACCATGAATTGGCAATAAGGAAAAACCATCTGGATTCATGTCAAACCAGCAGCTGATAATTTTCTGACAACAGTGGGTACAAAAGTACAGCCATCCACTCTGCCTTAAGTATTGACCTGATACTTGAAACTATTTTTCCAGAAATAGTAGTTGGCATGTCCACTGGCCAGGTAGAGAACTAGTAAGTAAAACAGCAAAGGAAATCAAAGCATCCTTCTAACTTTTTTGATAACATTTACTTGGAATGATCTGTGATACACAATTCTAGAATGACTCATATAAAATTGGAGGTCTTCTGGTGCTTGTCATTGCTACCAGTCTCAACAAAGGACTGGCTCTCGTATAGTTCAGTGGTAGCTTTCTTTTTAGAAAAAGCAGTTATTTCTTCTTCCAAAAGTCTTCTCTTTTCTTGAAGTTTCATTCTCTCTCCTTGGTGAACTCTTTTAAGATGTTCAAATTTGGCCTGGAGCTCCCTCTCGGCTTTCTTCAAGATGGCTTCCTTCTCCTTGACCCGCTGCACAAACATCTGCTTCATCTCCTCTTCCCTCCTCTGGTGCTCCCCACAGATCTTGTGCCTTTTGGCTTTGTAGGTCTCTTGAACACTGGCAGGCTTGCTTGTTCTTGGAGCCCATGTCTTTGAAGCCCAGTTTCTCCAGTTTGCAGCATCTGTACAGCTCGTAGTACTGCGTGTCAATGAGCATCTCCCAGAGCTTTATGAAGTCGCGGTGGTTCTCATTTTCCACTTGTACAACACCCCAAGGACACTGATGAGCTTTGACCATCTTATTTCCAACTTTTACCTCATCCATACTTCCTACAACAGCAAATGGTAATTGTGCGTTCATTGAAGAATTGATCTTAGCAATAGTTTCATCATCTGTTGGTAACTGGTAATTTGGACGCCATTGCTAACTAACTCACTCATGAGCTTGATCTTGAATTTCTGTAACTCAGTTTTAGAAATTGCATCAGCTTTGGCAATCACTGGTATAATGTTCACCTTACTGTCCAGGTTCTTCATGATTAAGAGGTGGAGAGTCTTGAGAGAGTGGCCCATAGGTGAGATAAAGTACAGACACACATGCACGCAGGAATCATGGAAGGTGCAGAGGCTCTGTTTAATCTTCAGCTCCTCCTGGAGGTAGGCCTTGAACAGAGCGTTTCGTAGTCCACTATTGGTTGATAGCTCTCTTCTAACTAATTTCTCACTAACAAGTAACTCTTCTCAGATAGAAATGTTCATGATCTCTTGAATTCAGGATTATTTTCAGTCATTATTATTTCTTTTTCCTAGGGAAATAATGATATAGGAGAAAAATCTTTGGGCTTGGATTAAAGTAGTTCAAGATCCCACCATGGCCCGGACAAGAAGTTTGAGAACCCAAGTTTCCTTTGATTGATAACCTGTGAGCCTTTTTCAAGAAAGTAAAAGTGAGATTCTTCTATTTGATATCTCCACTTCTATCCCCCATAGTTACCCTTTTACACTAGCTTCCTCCTCTGGCCCTGTCATAATGACCTCTTAATTACCTTCTGTCAAATCCCCACTTGGGCCCCTGATAGCATTTCACATTCAACATCTCCTTTCTTTTACCTTCCTTTGTTGTTGTTGGTTCTAGCTCAGCAACCACATGTTTCTCACAATCCTCCCTATGGCTGAGCCCAATCCTTACAGTCACTATGTTAATTCATCTTCTTGAGGGTTTCTGTCTTTTTCACATTTTTCCCTGACTTTACCAAGCATAATGTCCTTTTCCAGGGCCTGGTCCCTCCTGATAACATGATAACTGAAAGATGAGTCTTGCCATCCTTGCTTCTAAGGAACATTTTGACTGTACTTCTTTCCAACACAGATTTGTTCATTCTCCTGACAGTACATGGGATATTCAGTAACCTTTGCTAATACCATAACTCATATGCATCCATTCTTCTTCAGTCTTCCTTATTCACTGTCCAGCTTTCATATGCATATGAGGTGATTAAAAATACCAGGCTTAGAGCAGGTGCACTTTAGTCCTCAAAAGGACAACTTTGCTTTTGAACACTTTAAAGAGTTTTTGAACACTGCAGCAGATTTTCCCATTACAATATGTCATTTGATTTCTTTCCTTTTTTTTAACTTTTTTATTATTACTTGGGTGAAAGTTTACAGAGCAGACCAGTTTTCCATTCAACAATTCATACACATTTTTTTTCATATAACTGAATGCAAACCTCACAATGTAATATAACTTACCCCACTTCCTCCCGGTATTTCCTATTTCCATTCTTCTTTTTTCCCTAACACTACTGAACCTTGTTCTTGGGCAAATACTGTCCTTTTTCATCTCAAATGGTGTGTGTTACTGTTCCTCTTAAAAACCTATTGTTTGGCTGAAAATTGAGCACAGGGGATAGTTCATTTCTAGACCTGAAGGGTAACTAAGGGCCAGTATCTGGTTTTTCACCCATCTCTATCTAACTAGCAGGTCTTTTGATGATTTAGAGTTTTGCTACACATTTTACTTCTTCTATCCAAGACCTTCTTCTAATGCAACCCCTTTCAGGGCAGGTTTCTTGACTGCTGCTTCCATGAATGTTGATTATAGATCCACGTATGGCTGTACAATGGATCCTTGACAACTTGAATATTTTATTTCTCTTCCTCTGGAAAGTTTTATTCCACTCCTCCACCCACACAAGTAGCAAAAGAAATGTCTGG